CCCCCCCAGAAGTACATTTTCATTCTGCAGCCTATCAACCCACCAACCCCCTCCCCCCGATCTCTCTTCCTGGCATCGACCCCTCCTGTCAACATCAAAGCTTTCTTTCTTGAAAAGTCAGAGAAGGAAAATAAAAGAAAAGAGAGAGAGAGAGAGGGGGAGAGGGAGAGAGAGAGAGCCTTAAATGAGATCTCGGGTGTGGATGAGGGTGATGCACATGTAAAGTCAACATCTCCCTTCAACAATGTACTGGAATTCCCTGCACGGCCTCACCACAAAGGACTTTCCCCCTCCCCATCAGTCCTGGTATCCTGTTTACCCTCCATCCGTCTGAGGGAGACAACAACTTATTTTGTGACACGGTCCATCGCCTCTGTGCGCCACTAGAGGGTAGCCTGGTACTCCTTTATACACCAGCATCAAGTGCCCTTTGCAGCACTGGAGCCGTTTACGTGACTGTTTTATCAGAAAGGCTTCTTTGTCCAGGGCTCAGAATAAGGCCCAGCAACGTTCTAAGCAATGGATGGCAAAGAGATTAAGGGTCGGAGGTCACAGCATACAATAAGTGATAAGTGTGGCCCCAGAGTGACCCCCCCCAGATAAAGATTTTCTCCTTGTGCTGCTCCATTCACTATCCAGCCATTTCCCGTCTGCTCCCATTCACTGGGATCAACAGTAGGATAATCTAGCATGTGCATTTTTCACTTAAAAATGCCAGAATTCATTTTGTTACAAGGACAGAGTCACCTGTGAATTGCCTTTTTGCCTTTGAGAAACCCCCAATGCAATTGACCCAGTACTAATTGTCCATTCTATGGTCCCTGGCCAGCAGGCTGGTTGTGTTTTTGCGGCTCAGCACCGACGGCAACCTCCACCCAGCACCACCACGGCTCAATGACAGCTTATCAGAGGCCTCACCACCCTGTGTCTCATCAGCTTACATGTCTGATAGGTATTCAAACCACACGGGCGTGATTATTCGAGAGCTAGCGTGAAACCTGACAGAGGACTATACATGGACACATCAGTATATCGTAATTTAGCATTAACATGTATTTAATTAATCATTTGGCTTAAAACAATAGCAAACA